AGACAGAAAATAAATGGGAAAACATTGGACTTAAACTGCATGTTAAATCTGATGGACCTGATAGACATACAATACATTCCATCTAACAACAGAATACACATTCTTCTCAGGTGCACATGGAGCAATCTTTAGAATAGATCTTGTTAGGGCACAAGTCTTGGTAAATTTAAGAGGATTGACATCGTATCAAGCATCTTTTCTAACCACGGTGATATGAAACTTGAAATCAGTTACAAGATGAAAACTGTAATATTCACAAATATGTAGAGCTTAAACAACATGCTCCTGAACAACCAGTATGTCAAAGAAGAAATCAAAAGGGAAATAAAAGAAATGCCCTCAGACAAATGGAAACACAGCATTCCAAAATTTATGGGATGCAGCCAAAGCAGTTCTAAGAGGGAGGTTTATAGCAATAAACTCCTACATTAAAAAAAAGAAAGATCTCAAATAAAACAATCTAACTTTACACAAAAAGGACATAGGGAAAGGACAGATCAAGCACAATGTTATTAAAGGGAAGAAAATAATTTCAGAGTGAAAGTAAGTGAAATGGAGACTAATAAGATAATAGAAAATGTCAATGAAACTGAACTGTTACAGTGAAAAAAAAAACACACAAAAAAACCCCCAAAAAACAAAATAGACAAACCTTTAACTAAACTAAGAAAAAAAGAAGACCCAAATAAATGAAGTCAGGAATGAGAGAAGAGACATTACAACTGATAACACAGATAAGAATCATAAGAAACTACTAAGAACAATTATATGTCAACAAATTAGATAACCTAGAAGAAATTCCTAGAAATATACAACCTACCAAGATTGAATCATGAAGAAAGAAAAAAAGCTGAACAGAACGACTAGTTAGGAGATTTAACCAGTTATAAAACACACACACACACACACCCCACTCCCCACCCACACCCTCCCCCAACCTCCCAGCAACGAAAAGTCCTTTCTCAAGGACCTTGGAGTCATTCCTTTAAAATGCAATCTTTAAGAAACATTGTGCTGCTATCCCTTCAATCTCTGAAGGAGGGAAGGGCCTAAGCACAAATTAACAAACATAGGTAACCTAGCTACTTTGACCAACCGCCCCTAATATCCTTCAGTACTTTTCACTAGCCTGCCCCAGCTCTTAAAAACTTTCCCACCTTTGTTTCAGTAGAGTTGAGTTTAATCTCTCTCCCCTATTGTAATGGCCTTGAATAAGGTCTGTGTTGTCCTTTTAGCATGTGCAGTGCAGTGCAATTTCCCTCCAACAGTGACCGAGAGTGAGAACTCTGGAGTCAGACTCTGGCTCCATTTTACTGCACAAGCCACATAATCTCCTCACTCAGCGTCAGTTTGCATGAGTGAGCTGGAGAGGATGTCACCTACATGCAGGATTTCTGTGGAGGATGGCATGGACCAATGAATGTAAAACTCTGCGCTGATGTAAATTAAGTACTCCATGAAGTTTAATGTAGGTCTTATTGTTTTGGCTAATGACTACACGAAAAGCTTCTTGATGGCTCTTTTTTATTTTTAAGAAAACTACTCTAGTGTAGTATATATTTCTGTTTTGCTAAATTATCAATATGTACATTTCTGGGATATCTACTTTGTAAAGTGAAGTCTATCAATTTAGTTCTTGAAATAAATAAAGATAAAAAATACATCATAAATAGTGAAAGCAAGCAGCCAGTTGCACATCTGATCCTGAAGTCTAGTTACTTAGAGCAGAGGGATCAGTTACTTCTGAGACCATGTAGAGAAACAGCATCTATGGGCGAGAGAGAAAACTGAAATACCATGTTTTCAGATACTAGCAAGCTATGTTCTCCAACAAATGAAGAAAACTCTGTGCTGTTTATATTTTGAAGTTCAAAATACCTCCTACTTAAGCTATCCTAAAACCAAGACCTTCCGGAAACTAAAAGATAAATACTTTTAATATATTTTAAAATGCAAGTTTTATTTATTATTCTTTTAGATCTACTTTTATTGATTTCAGAGAGGAAGGGAGAGGGAGAGAAACATCAATGATGAGAGAGAATCATTGATCAGCTGCCTCCTTCCCACCCCACACTGGGGATTGAGCCTACAACCCAGGCATGTGCCCTGACAGGGAATTGAAACTATGACCCCCTGATTCATGGGTTGACACTCAACCACTGAGTCACTCAGGGTGGGCTGAAGTACTGGTTTTATAATACTCTACTAGAGGCCCGGTGCACAAAAATTTGTGCACTCGGGGGGGGGGGGGGGTTGGAAGAGGGGTCCCTCAGCCCGGCCTGTGCCCTCTCACAGTCTGGGAACCCTCGGGAGATAACGACCTGCTGGCTTAGGACTGCTCCCGGGTGGCAGAGGGCAGGCCTAATCCCTAGGTGCAGCCCCTGGTTGGGCTCAGAGCAGGGCCGATTGGGAAGTTGGGGCGCCGCCCCCTGTCATGCACAGAGCAGGGCGGATTGGGAGGTTGTGATGCCACCCTCAGTCATGCTCAGGGTAGGGCCGATTGGGGCGTTGGGGCACCACCCCCTTGTCATACTCAAGGCAGGGTCGATAGGGAGGTTGTGGCACCACCCCCTGTCACGCACAGAGCAGGGCCGATCAGGGGGTTGGGGCGCTGCCCCCTGTCACGCACAGAGCAGGGCCCATCAGGGGGGTTGGGGCTCCGTATCCTGTCATGCACAGAGCAGGGTCGATCAGGGGGTCACGCACAGAGCAGGGTCCATCAGGGGGGTTGGGGAGCTCCCCCCTGTCATGCACAGAGCAGGGCCCATCAGGGGGTTGAGGAGCTCCCCCCTGTCACTCACAGAGTAGGGGCGATAGGGGAGTTGGGGCACCGCCCCCTGTCACACACAGAGCAGGGCGATCAGGGGGTTGGGGCGCCACCCTCTATCACCCACAGAGCAGGACCAATCAGGGGGTTAGGGTGCTGCCACTGTCACACTCAGGGCAGGGCCGATGGGGAGGTTATGGCTCTACCCCATCACACACAGAGTAGGGCCCGGGGGGGGGGGGGTTGGGGCGCCGCCCTCTATCACCCACAGAGCAGGGCAGATCAGGGGGTTGGGGTGCCACCACTGTCACACTCAAGGCGGGGCCGATGGGGAGGTTATGGCTCTACCCCGTCACACACAGAGCGGGGCCATGGGGGGAGGGGGTTGGGGCGCCGCACCCTGTCACACACAGAGCCGCAGGGTGATCAGGGGGTTGGGGAGCTCCCCACTATCAGGCACAGAGCAGGGCTGATCAGGAGGTTGGGGTGCCTTCCCCTGTCACGAACAGAGCAGGGCCGATAGGGAGGTTGTGGCCCCACCCCCTGTCACACACAGAGCCGCAGGGCAATCGGGGTTTTGGCGCTGCCCCCTGTCACGCTGATCCCGGTGCCGGGAGGCCTCGCGGCTCCGCTGATCCCGGTGCTGGGAGGCATATTACCCTTTTACTATATAGGATAGAGGCCTGGTGCATGTGTGGGGGCTGGCTGGTTTGCCCTGAAGGGTGTCCTGGATCAGGGCGGGGTCCCCACTGGGATGCCTGGCCAGCCTGGGTGAGGGGATGATGGCTGTTTGCAGCTGGTCACACACCCTTCAGGGTGGGGGTCCCCACTGGGGTGCCTGGCCAGTCTGGGTGAGGGGCTGAGGGCTGTTTTCAGGCCGACTGAAGCTCCCAACTGCTCCTTTTTTTCTTTTTTCTTTTTTATTCTGGGCCAGCTTTAGCTCTGGCTCCAGCTCTGAGGCTTCTGCTGCTGAGAGCAGGTATCTGGTTTGTTTGGGTTCTATAATCTAAACACTGTATAACTCCAGCTCTAAGATCCCGGCCTCACTGAAAGCAGGTTTCTGGGGTTTTGTTTAGCTTCTATATTCATTACAATGTTTCTTAAACTGCAGGCTCAGAGGCCGGCAAAGCAGGCGGAGAGCGTTGGTTTCCTCCGTCACTGAAGCAAGCAAGCCTCATTTTAGTTTCAAGCTGTCTGGCTGCCGGCTGCTATCTTGGCTGGCAGTTAATTTGCATATCTCACTGATTAGCCAATGGGAAGGGTAGCGGTCGTACGCCAATGACCATGTTTCTCTTTTATTAGATAGGATTGTCTTATAGCTCCATCATGAAATGTTGCCTCAATCCACAAATTTTAAAGAAGTATGTGAAACAACACATTTTAAAAGTTGAAACTGCTTTCTTTGGGTGGAGAGGGAGCATGGTAACAGATAGTTGGGAATGACTATATTTTGACTTCATGTCAGAGTAAATATCTAGTCATAACAGTTTCTGTTCAGTATATGCTGTATCTGTAAAACTATGTCTCCTATCTCTTTCTCACTCCAAAATAATCTGAGAAAAATTCATTTGAATTGACTTCTGACATTTATCAATTTATATTCTGTTTGGGAACCCTACTTGCAATTCTGACTGACTTACAAATTCTGACTGACTTGCAAAGATTACAGTGATGATATGGATCGGACTATGAATGGCAGAATACTGCATTGACGTTCCATTCTTAAATCCACCATGCTGGTGTGTTTTTTGAGTCATTACCTCTTACGATCTATTCACTATTTTTATACTTCCTGTTCATGGAAACTCCTGTAACATTAAGTTTGTATGTTTAGATTGTGTGCCCCGATCTCCCCCTCCCTGCTTGAAACAGTTTTATGTTACAGACAAGGGGTTACAAAAAAAGGCAGAGCCCCCTAAGCTGCATGAATACAGATAAAAAGGTAGGTTATGGTTTTGATGTCTAGATGCCCACCTGGAGAGGAGGGAATTTGGGAGCAAATTAAAAAGACTAAAACTCTAAGTCAACTCAGAAACAGATGTGCCTATGATGAAGTCAGGTTTGAAACTGGAAAGTTAGTTGTCATGGTCCTCAGTTGTATCTGTTTTATCCTAAGGCACCATTTGGTTTAATACAAATGTAGGTATAAGACTTCTTAACCTAACAGTTTCTTAAGACTTAATGATAAAGGTTACATTTCAGAGGCTGAAAGCATGGTTCATTTGTCTTCCAGGTTTATCTTGCAGATTACGGACTTGCCTACAGATATTGTCCCAACGGGAACCACAAACAGTATCAGGAAAATCCTAGAAAAGGCCATAATGGGACAATGGAGTTTACCAGCTTGGATGCCCACAAGGGTGTAGGTAAGTTTCTTTTTTTTTAATTTTTATTTCACAAGAATAATTACAGAGTAATAAGACTCTATGAAATGACCTTTGCATAGTCACTTTGAGGACTGAGAGCACTGGTGAGATTTTTGTCTTCCAGTGACTATTTGTCTTATGGGGTGGGGGAGGAGCTACAGACTATGACAAGTGAGAAAAAAAGCACAAGGGTATCAAGGAAGCAAAGCTTGATGCTTATTTTGGGCAGGAAATGACTAGTTTGTGTAGATTAAACTTGGAGGTCAGCACTGAACTTTCATGCTGTAGTGAAGAATACAGATTTGCTAAAGAATTTGGTGAAGAATTGTTCCTGTTTTTCATTGTGCCCTTATCAGAGCTTTGGAAGATACCATCTCTCAACAAGAAAATCTCTTCTGAAACTATAAAGTGTTAATTTGTGGAAATCTCTCCTAGTCGCCTTTCATATATCTTACTTATTTAAACTCACTTTGATGGTATTGGAAACACATTTGCAGGTAAATTACATACATAGTCCTTTTATTGGATATTGATTGTACTGCCTTGCATTCCAGGGCAGACTTAATTCAACAATTCCCTAATTAGTTAAAGTCATAACCTATGTCTTGTATTCATTTACCATTAATTAAACCTTAGCTGTTTATTACACTGCAGTCCAAATCCAATAGCCGACCCAGAAAGCCATGGAAAAGGAAGTAGGAGGTCAATATTGAAAATATATGGTGCAGAGTCCCACTGATGGTTGCTTTGTTCACAATCAATATGGTCAATGCAACTGTACTTTCTTAGTTGCTCTGTCAGCAAGACAAAAAGTCAATTCTAATGTTATGCTAGTAAAAAAAGGGGTGATTATTGAAAAACTTTGGCTTTCAAAATTATATTCCTTAAACTTTGTTTATAAAAGTATTTTCAAGTTTGCCAAGCCATACAAATAATTATAAACAGCTTGCAAAGATCCACATTTTCACTACAAGGCAATTAGACATTTGCACTTGTTAATGACTGGTGAACTGATACCCTAAACTGAGACTTTTTAACGAGTTTTAGTTGGTGCAAACAACTGTATATTATTGCCTTTTCTATTAAAAGGACCATTGACCATGTAATGTAGAGGGGTCTTGATTATTTTCCAAAGCAATTAAAACCCACCCCAGTTTAAGGTAGGCCAGTGCAAAAGTAAGACAAGTGTGTTGGATGGATACTGTCTTTCTTTCAGGAAGGATCATAGGTTAAATTTCTGAAATGGAAATTAGCTTTTATACTTTGGATTAGAGTAAAATAAATCACTACATTACTTTTCAAGGGTAGTTTGGTTAGAAAAGTAATGATTACTCAGAAATTAAGAAATCTGTATTTTTTCACCATTTACATTGTGAATGAATCAGTGAACATTCAAAAATATAAATGGGGCATGGTTTTAATTAAATTAAGAAATATAAGAATCAAATGCTCATTGATAGTGGGTTCTTGTTCCATTTAAAGTTCTTTACTCTCAGTGAATTTTCTTCTTCACTTTTGCCAGATTCATTAGTTTGCAAGTATTTACAGGAATCTGGGAGGAGTACTTTTTTGATAGTGGTATAACGAAATTCATCATACAGATTCTTAAGCATTGCTCTGATTGTTAATGACTAGAGGTCTAGTGCACAACATTCGTGCACTGGGGGTGGTGGAGGGGGAGGTCCCTTAGCCCAGCCTGCGCCCTCTTGCAGTCCAGGAGCCCTCAGGGGGCCTAAGCCCTCAGTGGATCATCTTTAGTGCTGCTGCGGAGACAGGAGAGGCTCCTGCCACTGCCACTGGCTTCTGGCTCAGCGGAGCTCCCCATATGGGAGCACACCGACCACCAGGGGGTAGCTCCTGTATTGAGCGTCTGCCCCCTGGTGGTTAGTGTGCGTCATAGCTACCAGTCATTCCGCCATTAAGGTCAATTTGCATATTACCCTTTTATTATATAGAATGATACTAACTTATGGTTGGACCACTTATTTCAACTGGTAGTTCTGATCTTGATACATTGTGGTTTTGGCTTTTAAAACAGCTAAGAAACCAGTGTGATTGTTGAATGGGGAGAAGAGTTGTTACATGTTAATCTGGACCAGGGGTCCTCAAACTACGGCCCCCAGGCCACATGCGGCCTGCCGAAAACATTTATCCGGCCCACCAAGTGTTTTTGCCGCCACTGTGTGCATAGGAATTTGTTCATAGTTTTTTTTTAAACTATAGTCCAGCCCTCCAGCGGTCTGAGGGACAGTGAACTGGCCCCTTGTTTAAAAAGTTTGAGGACCCCTGATCTGGACAGTGTTTGGACTGTGGTAATTCTGAAAGTCCTCTACAGTTATTCCATAGTTTAGGGCAGTGGTCGGCAAACTCATTAGTCAACAGAGCCAAATATCAACAGTACAACGATTGAAATTTCTTTTGAGAGCCAAATTTTTTAAACTTAAACTATATAGGTAGGTACATTGTTATTAACTTAATTAGGGTACTCCTAAGGCTTAGGAAGAGCCACACTCAAGGAGCCAAAGAGCCGCACGTGGCTCGTGAGCTGCAGTTTGTCGACCACAGGTTTAGGGCATTGCTTTTATTGTGCTATCCTCATAAAATGTTTGAACAAATTTTTATTTTGTAGTTCGCTTAAGCTTTTTCCTCCCTAAATAATAATACATGTGATTAGTTGGGTAGATTTCACCATGGTAGGGCTTTGGGGGAGAATATTGAACTGAACAAGATAGTAGAAAGATACTATCTCCCTGGCAAAACTATTCAGGGAAGAGTCTATATTACATATTTTTGGTATTTGCTGGAAAGTCATATGCTAGAGTGAATATTTACTTTTATAGGTTTCATAGGATTCCTATAAAAATATTCTCTTAATGCATTTAAAATAGAATTTATACTAAACTTCTAGGCATATCTATATCTAAATATACAGATATACATGTATACCTATTATATACATACACATGCATACACACATACAAACATAGCTAACATACACACATAGCTAACATACACACATATATATGTGTATTTATATATATACTATAGGCCCGGTGCACAAAAATTTGTGCACTCGGGGTGTCCCTCAGCCTAGCCTGTGCCCTCTTGCAGTCTGGGACCCCTTGGGCTATGACCACCTGCTGGTTTAGGCCCGCTCCCTGGGGAATTGGGCCTAAGCTGGCAGTCAGACATCACTCTGGCAGCCCGGTAGCCCTCGGGGGATGTCCACTTGCCAGCAGGGAGCAGGCCTAAGCTGCAGTCGGACATCCTTAGGACTGCTGAGGAGGCGGGAGAGGCTCCTGCCACCACCGCTGTACTGGTAGCCGTCAGCATGGCTAGTGGCTGAGCAGAGCTCCCCCTGTGGGAGTGCACTGACCACCAGGGGGCAGCTCCTGCATTGAGCGTCTGTCCCCTGGTGGTCAGTGTGTGTCATAGTGACCAGTCATTCTCAGTCTTTCTGCTGTTAGGGTCAGTTTGTATATTACCCTTTTATTATGTAGTATAGAGGCCTGGTGCATGGGTGGGGGCTGGCTGGTTTGTCCTGAAGGGTGTCCCGAATCAGGGTGGGGGTACCACTGGGGTGCCTGGCCAGCCTGGGAGAGGGGCTGATGGGTGTTTTCAGGCTGGTCACACCCCCTTCAGGGTGGGGGCCACTACTGGAGTGCCTGGCCAGCGTGGGTGAGGGGCTGATGGCTGTTTGCAGCTGGTCACACCCCTTACAGGGTGGGGTTCCCCATTGGGGTGCCTGGCCAGCCTGGGTTAGGGGCTGATGGCTATTTGCAGGCTTGTCACACCCCCTCCAAGGTGGGGGTCCCCACTGGGGTGCCTGGCAAGTCTGGGTGAGGGGCTGAGGGCCGTTTTCAAGCTGGCCAAGCCCCCCAGCGACGGAAGCTCCCAGCCTCTCCTTTTTTTCTTTTTTTTTTTAATTCTGGGATTTATTTACCTTCTATAATTGAAACTTTGTTGCCTTCAGTGGAGCTCAGAGCCGGCTCCTGCTTGCTCCAGCTCCATGGCCATGGCCGGCTGAAAGCAGGTATCTGGGGTTTATTTATCTTATGTAATTGAAACTTTGTTGCCTTCAGTGGAGCTCAGAGCTGACCGGGAAGCTTGGCTTCCTCCATCGCTGGAGCAACCAAGCCTCCTGCTCTCTTCAGCTCCATGGCTGCCGGCCGCCATCTTGGTTGGGTTAATTTGCATATAGTCGTTCTGATTGACTGGTGGGCATGGCTTAAGGCGTAGCAGAGGTACAGTCAACTTGCATGTTTGTCTTTTATTAGATGTATATATCTAATATAGATTAGATGTATATATTAGATGCAATATAGATGAGATGTATATATTCTATGTAATATAGATTAGATGTATATATTCGATATAATATAGATTAGATGTATGTATCTAATCTAATAAAAGAGAAACATGCAAATTGACCGTACCTCTGCTATGCCCCAAGGCACGCCCACCAGCCAATCAGCGACTATATGCAAATTAACCCAACCAAGATGGTGGCCGGCAGCCACGGAGCTGGAGCAAGCAGGAGGCTTGGTTGCCCCAGCGATGGAGGAAGCCAAGCTTCCTGCCTGCTCTGGCAGGCTGTGGCCTCTGCTCAAGGCAACAAAGTTTCAATTATAAAAGACAGATAAATCCCAGATACCTGCTTCCAGCCAGCCTCCAATGGGAGCTTGGGTGGCTGGGGGCCGTGGTCAGCCTGCAAACAGTCATTAGCCCCTCACCCAGGATGACCATACCCTCATGGGGTGAGGGTCCCCGCTGGGGGGCTTGGCCAGCCTGAAAACAGCCATCAGCCCCTCACCCAGACAGGCCAAGCACCCCAGCAGGAACCCCCCACCATGAAGGGGGTGTGGCCAGCCTGAAAATGGCCCTCAGCCCCTCACTGAGGCTGGCCAGGCACTCCAGCGGGGATCCCCACACTGAAGGGGCTGTGGAAAGCCTGCAGTCGGCCATCAGCCCCTCACCCAGGCTGGATAGGCACCCCCAGG